TGGTGCTGACCTCCCAACTGTGGCTGGAGCCACCTCCCGGAAAAATCTCCCAGCTGGATTCTGTTGGAGCCCAGCCTCTCCCAGCAGTTCCAAGCCAGAAGAGGAGGACAGGGCCTTGGTGGGGGAGGAAAGGGCAAAGGAGGGAAGTAGACAGAAGCTGCCCAACTCTGAACTAGATGCTCCCCAACCCTGGTAGCTGCCCAAAGAGGTGCCCCCTGGAGGGTAGGAGCAGTGCTCAGCACACTCATAAGGATGAAGACTCTGCACCTCATCTGACTGAGGTCCAATTCCCGCTACCTTGTCCCCTTTTGGGGCTACTAATCCTGAAGCTTTGGCTTCCAGACCTGCTGAGCCTGGAGCCAGCCCAGGACAGGGTCACCATTCCCAGATGCCTGAGGGTGACAGAGGCCCAAGAGGGGACTAGGATAACATGGCATCCTGGGCCTGCCACCCCTCAGAATCTTCTAGAATAAGTTGCTCCATCAACTTCCTTATACCTTAAGTCTTCTCTTGGATAGCCTCTTACACAGAGCCCAGGTTCTCAAGCATCCTATGAGGTCTTGGAGACTTGGGGGTCCTTTGTCTTCTCCAATCCTGCTGAGAACAAGCACTGTGTAGTCACCCTGGACACACTTACTCCTGTGAAATTCTGGGCTGTGTCCCTCTGAGAGACCCCTTACTATCTTCTGGGCCCTGGCAGCCCACTTGCGAAGATCAGATCCACCAGATACAAGCTATTGCTGTCCCTAATTTTTCCCTGGGACAAGTGGTAGCTTTGGTGTGGCATGGGAGTGTTTTTCATTCAGGGCATCTGTCACAGGGCAGGGACCATGTCCAGTTTATGTAATGAGATGGTTCCTTCAGCTCCAATCACCAGCCTCTGTCCAGGTTGGCCTGGGTTCTAGTGTCCTGAGGGGCAAGCGCATCAGGACTGACCGTTCAGCCTCAGGCGATCTCTTTGTTCTGTTTTTGCCATTTCAAACAAGGCTGCACTGACAACCTTGACATTCGGTGCTTCCGGCATTCATTATGCCATCGTCCCTGGCCTCAGCAGAGGTAGAGAAGGGGACCAGGAGATGCCAGGGTATGGGCACCTACCTGTATTAGTCAGGGTTCTCCAAAGAAACAGAACCAGTAGAATGAATATGTATAGAGATTTATCAGCTTAGCTCACAGGATAGAGTCCGAGTAGTCCAACAATGGCTGCACCACACTGGAGAGGCTGAGAATCCCTAGTTGCTCAGTCCACGAGGCCGGGAGTCTCAGTAGTACCAATCTGGCACTGAAGGTCTGACAAATTCCAAAAGATCAGCTAGTCTTCAGTCTACAGCAGCAAGACAAGCTCACCAGCGAGAGAGAAGGCAAGCAGCAAGAAGCCAGGTGTTCTCCTCTGCCGTGGCCTTTTATACGGACTGCCATCAGAAGGTAACACCTACATTTAGGGTGTGTCTTACAGCTTCAGATGATCCAATTAAGATCTCTCTCATTTCAGTTAATCCCAGATCCAGTCAAGTTGACACCCAGGATTAGCCATCATACCTACTCATGTCCACCTTTGCAGAGCGAGTGTCTTCTGCCTATGGTCCAGGTTAGGAGGCTTTCACTGAGCCTGCCCTGGATAAGACTCATCACCCACTCTTACAGAGGGGTTGGTCCCAACAGTCACCGCTACATCCTGCATGACTGGGTGAAGAGGTATTCCAAGCAGGCATTCAGAAACAAAAGGTGAGGTGAGTAGATCAAAGGACACTTCTCTGCAGGGGCTCTGGAAGTTCTTTACAACATTGGCTTGTTTACAGGGTATGGAGCAGATGTTCACAGGACACTGAACTTATCTGGCTTTGCCGTGATAGGCATTCTTTTAATTTTATGTGTATGAGTGTATTGCTTACATGTATTGTAACTGTGTCATGCCTGCAGAGGTCAGAAGAGGGCATCAGATCCCCTGGAACTGGAGTTAACAGTTTTAGATGCCATGAGGTCCTCTGCAAGAGCAGCCAGTGCTCTTAACCACTGAGCCATCTCTCCAGCCCCCATCATAGGCATTTTTACCTGGTTGTGACTTTGCACACATGCTAACTATGCTTTCAACTGAGTTCAGAGCAGTGGTCTCCAACAGGTCACCACACAGGAAAGGTTTGCACAGGTTTTTTCCTCATACCTTGCCCCTCTGTCTTTTGAAGCTGTTGGGTTTTACATAGTCTTCCACATCTTCTGGAATTCACTGTGTACTGCTTGCTGGCTGGGGGCGGGGGGAACAGTGATTTGAACTGTCTTTTTACCTAAACACAATGGGCTGAACTAGAGAGAAAAAGGCCCTGGTATTGTTTAGTAGGGGAAGGGGAAGATGAGGCTGAGGTGCCCAAGATCAGGGTGCTTTCCACAGCCAGACACACCCTCATCTGTTGGCAAACAGCTGTGTGCATCCCCACCTGTACCATTTGTGTGCAAGCTTGGACTCACTGTGCAGAGGCCATGCCCATCCCAGACCCCAGTTCTTTTTCTAGTTTTACCCTTCATTCTCCCTCTTCTTGCCCCACAAAAGTATAGATTCAAGCAGGGAAGAGGCTGGGGTGCTCCCATTCCTTGGAGTGACCCATCCCACCTTCTTAACTGGAAGCCCAAGCTCACTTCCTTTGACCACCCTGATGGTAATCCTGGGTACCACTCAATGGTAGGGAAGCCCCTTCAGGTCACTCTGAGCAATGAGAAACGTGAGCCCTAGAATCTATCTGGGACTTACCCAAGGTCACAGCTACCCAAGTTTAGGCTAGGATTCCTGTCTGAGGTTCCAGTCTACACCTCAACCTCCATGCATCAATTCCTATGCTCTCTGCCACTTCCACTTCCCAGAGGCCCTACCTCATGGTCAGAAATTTCTGTCCCAGAGCTGGTTGACATGTTAACAGCCAAGGTGGAGCAGAGGACGAGCCTATCAGGATCTGGTATACCCTTAGGATGCCCTGTCTAGGTACCACTGTCTTCTCCAGGGTCCTCTGCTTGGTACATCACAACTCAGCTTCACAATCCTGGTCAATAAGGCCTAGCACCCAACCGGCCTCAGGACACCAAGGGAATTTCTTGCCACCCATGGGTGTTGGTTCATAGATCCAACACAAAAGGAAAGAAACAAGTACACAGAGGGATAGACAGGGCAAAACAGACACAGTGGAGAGAGATAGGCATGGGGGACAGGGGACACAGGAACGACAGCAGTTCAGTGAGACTCATGCTGTTCCTAAGGCCAGTAGTGTGCAAGTCTGCCTCCCCCACCTCCTCACTGCACCCCTCCCGCGCGCGCATCTACACAGCCACAGCTGGTTCATGGGCTGCACTGTCTCCTCCTGTTGTCCTGCTCTTGGCTGTGTCCCTCTCCACTGCTTGGAGTCACAAATCGGGAAGATCTGGGGCCTGACTTCCTCACATCCTTTAAAGGAACACTGGGAGATGTGGATGCTTCTGACTGGGTGGGTGGCATCCTGCCATCAGCCCAGCATGACCCTCAAGCTGACAGAGGTCATAATAGTAACCCTTAAAGCTGGGTGTGGTGGTGCATGCTTATAATCCCAGCACTCAGGAGGCAGAAGCAGGGGGATCTCTCTTAGTTCAAGGCCAGCCTGGTTTCTATATAGTGAGGTCCAGGGTCAGCCAGGGCTACATAGTGAGACTGGGGCCACCCTAGGAACCTCAGGGTCAGGGACATTGTGGGCTGCTGAGGGCCTGGGGTTAGCCTCTCGTCCCTTATCTGCTCTGGCCTGGGCCAGCCCCAGAGATAGCTGTCTGCCTGTGTTCAGCGAGGTGTGGTGTTTTAAATGTTTTGACATTTTAAATCTGTGTTGGATACATTCACTGTGTTTAATTCTACTGGGCCACAGTGACTCACCAGGAATTGGATTGGTGTGTCTCCTGGGACAGGGCCCAGCTGGGCTCAGAACAGGCAAAGGATTTCTCACCTACCCCTCTGCTTTGCACTTTGTATTTCCAGTGGAGCAAGATAAACAAGTGGGGTGAACAGGCCCAGTTCCTGACCTCTTCAGGTGAGGTCAGACCATCCTCAGGGTCAGTGGGGCACAAGGGGCCCAGGAGTGAGTGGATGCCGGGTCGGCCTGTACCTGTGGAGCAGAGCTTTGTGCAAATGGAAACTTGGGCTGCCTCCTCCCTGGGCCTTCCTAGGGGTGGAGGCCAGGCCTTCAGAGTGCTTCAGTCAAGTCTAGAAGAGGCCCAAGGGGTAAACCTGCCATGTTCCAACAGACTCCAGCATTCCGGGTGGCCGCTGCCCTCTTTCCCAGGCACTGGCCATGACTATCCTCACTGCAGGTTATGACCCTTGCATTGCTCTCCACATGTTCCCACTGGGACAAATCACTCCTGAGTACCAGAGGGGGTGGCCTCTTGAGGACAAGGGTCAGACATCGCTAAAGGATCCAGGCTGAACTCACACAGGCTCAGCAGCAAATCCAGGTCTGATACTTCTGAGCTACTGGCTTGAGCATATCAGAGAATCGGTTTCTCCGAATTCAAATTATATATAGAAGTGGAGATTGGGTAGGGCCTGGACTGACAAGAGGGGCTGCCCTTCCCCAGAGCTCTGAGGGGCACTAAGAGGATGTACAGAGGCATTGATGTGAACTGTCTGCATGCAGGGTAGGAGCCTGGGCCAAAATCCTGGACATCACACTCCTAGACCTGGGAACTCAGAGCCTAACCCTTCATCAGAACACCCAGGGTTCTACTCAGTCTGAGGTAGCAGAGGCTCTGTTGAGCTTTTCCAAACAGTTTGGGATGAGGTGGGGTACAGGCTGGGAGCTGAGCTTGGGGAGGGACTCCAGGGGAGGAGCTGATCTGGTAGGTAGCCTGGATGGGGCAGGACCTTCCTAACTTGTGTGAGCCCAGCACTTCGCCTACTCCAGTCCTGATCCCACAAGTATGATGGTCCCTGGGTCTGGTGGGTGAGCAAGCTCTATGCCCCAGGTCTGACAGCCGCCTCTTACCCTCTGCAGGTTAACACCTTCATGTCCTTCATCTTCCCCATGGTGGTCATCTCGGTCCTAAACACCATCATCGCGAACAAGTTGACAGTTATGGTGCGGCAGGCCGCTGAGCAGGGCCGGGTGTGCACTGTGGGTGCACAGCACAGCACGTTCAGCATGTCCATCGAGCCTGGCCGTGTTCAGGCCCTCCGCCATGGTGTCCTTGTCTTACGTACGTAATCTCTCGCCCTGGGGTGGAGGGCAGTGCGGCAGGACCAAACCCAGAGTCGGGCAGAAAGATGTGGAATAGAACGTGGGCCCAAGTCCAGGAGCCACGGCAGTGAACTGGAGCCAAGCTGCCTTCACTCAACCAGAGGCTGGGTGCCAACTCTGGGTCACAGATGTAGGTCAGCCCTCTTGCTGGAAATCAGGGTTCTACCAGAGAATCAGCACACACCCCAGGCACACAAGTGAAGCCACAGGACTAGACTCGGCAGAGTTATTCAGGACTAGAAGCCAGTGGTCTTGACAAAGCTGCAGGCAGAGGGCATGCAAAGGCTCTGTGGTGCTCAGTACATAGCAACAAGGCTGGATAGGAGGAGGTGGGCCTGAATCCTGCAGCTGACGTAGCCTTGGAAAGTGGTGAGTGTTCTTGTGACCCTCCAGACCCACGCCTTGCACTTTTGCCCATGGCCGGGCTCGTCCTGGTCCTGCCCTTTTTGGGCTTTCTTCCCAGTGGTTCCAGATGCAGCCACAAGGCAAAGCACACAACAGGAGGGAGTCCCCCAGATCAGCCCCTCAAAGCCCAGAGTGGCTGGCACCAGAGCTCGGTGGGCCTGGGGGCCTTCCAGGCCTCACCCAAAGAGGGCAACTATGAGAAGGGCTCATTTACCTCCTCTGGGGGGCCGTGCTAGACCCCAGAGCACCTGCCTCACGTCCCCCCACAGACCTAGGAGCTCTCAGGGTGACTGGAGGTGAGTGGACCCTGATCCCAGGGTGGGGCCTACAGCTGAGGGTAAACAGGAACATCTAGGGTCCCGAGCAGAGCTGTGCCTGGAAATGCCAGTGGTTAGTGCCTTCTGCCAGGGCCCACGTGGGCCTGGGGGACCTGGCAGCCGCACCTGTCACCCTGCCATAAAGGGTCAGGCTTGCCCTACAGAGGCCACACTGCCCTCTGGCTATGTTGTCCTTTGCAGGCCCTGCCCAAGTCCCCACTTGGTTGTGTCCTTGGCAACAGAGCTGTCCACTGTCCCTACCTGCCCCAAGCAAGGAGCATCTCTCGGGTCACCTCTGCAACTGTTCACCTGTGCACCTGCATCCTCGGCAGCACAGGAGGGGCAGGAAAAGTGGCTCAGCTGACACTCCTTGTGCTAGACCTGGCCACTGTAGGGTTCAGTGCTGGGTCCTCCCTCACATCAGCCCAGGCTGGAGACACTGTGGCAGTATTGTGGACTTGGAGACAGCCCCTGGGTGCCCCCTAGGGCCTCAAGATGCCCCAGCTCTGCTTCAAGGAAATTTAGAGGCTTCCCTCAGAATGATGCAAAGCCCACATTATACAGGAGACCAAGACTGGTAAGCCAAAGGCTTGAGCCAGTACCTTCAGGCGGTCCCTGTGGTGTCTGTCCTATGAGGCCAGTATCATCCTTCCTGGTGATTACTCACCTTCAGGGTCATTCCAGGAAAGATGAGCTCTGCACAGCAGGACAGAGAACTGGTTCTTCACCAAGGCTGTAGTACAGGGGCCAGCAAACTAGACGATGAGGATGAAGACAGAATAGAGCACCTGTGCCTGGACACCTGCCAGCCCCCTGCCTGAGAACCCCAAAGGGCTCTGCTGATGACCTGTGCCACCTTGGCAAGGAGTCAAGGCCATCACCTCTTGTGGCTACTGAACCATTGCATTCCAGTCTTCCCAACCCCCGTCCTTCCTCTAAAGTGAATGGATGGGGTGGGACAGGGCCTCAGTAGAAGGGAAGTCGCAGCTGTGTGCCCCAGAAACTGAAGACGAGTGAGCTAACCAGAAGGCAGAGAAGGGGGACCAGAGATGCCCCAATCAGTGTTTTCCACCCGAGCATCTGTCCTGGGAACTCTGATGAACCGAGACTCTTACCCACAGGATCCAGATGTCTCTGCCCCAGCGCCCTTGGTGGGCACTCCCCCTAGGGTCTGAGCACCTCGTAGTTGCTGCCACATACCCCACCCCAGGGCCAAGCTGGGTTTGCTGAGCTCTGTAACTAAATGTCCAATCCCGGAGCCCATCACTACCCACTGGGAACCTACAGCCAGCCCTGCCGCCTCCTGACCTTGGTCTGCAGTTAATCTGCCTTCCCATCAATGACTGACTGGCAGAGGTGCACGCAGTACCTCAGACCCACTCTGAGTGTCCCCTTGCACCAGTGTGTCATGCTGTTCTGAAGACTTGCCATATGACTGTCCAACCCCCCCAGTCTCCTGGTCAGGAGCCAATTCACCGCTAACCCAGAAGAGCCACTCAGGGTAGGCAGGAGTTGTTGAAAGTAGACAGTTACTGGGCACCTTCAGGACCCAAGGTACCCCAACTCTGCTTCCAGGAATGTTGGAAGTCTGCATCCTCAGGGGGACAAAAACTGAAAACCTCGAGGGCTCACATTGTACTGAGGCCAGCAAGCCAGAGGGCCCCACCTCGGTGACTCAGTAGCAGGCCAAGGGCAGGACCGTCCTGATGCTCAAACCACTGTGCTGTCCCTCAAAGTCATGTGTCCTCTGCATGAGGGAGACTTTCCAAGTAGATATTTAAATTTTATACCAAGAATACACAGCATAAAATGTCCCATCACAACCATCGTCAGCTGCCTAGTTCTAGGGCATTGAGCATGTTTGCACTGGCGCGCAGCCATCGCACCTCTGCCATCCACCTGCAGAACTGTTCCCAGGCCATCCTGAGTCTGATTCTTGTAGGAACCTTATGTAAACAGAACATACAAGCTTTGCTTGTTTCACTATAAACCTTCGAAGTTCATCTATGTTGGAGCACGCATAAGAATCTCCCTCCTGTTTAATGCTGAATTCCATTGCATGATGCTCACTTATGTGAGTCCCCATTTCATGCATGGACCACATGACCTCAGAGCATCATGTCAGCAGATCATTTGTCTGTCTGCAGGTGCCCGAGTCTCTTCCATCTCGATGATGGATTAAGAATGGCACTGTTGTGAATATGTGGGTGTGAGAATCTCTTCCTGGTCCCACTTTGTTTTCAGGTCGATTCCCAGTAGTGGGGTGCTGGATCATGCATCAATTCTTGTAATTTTTTGAGGAATTATCACTTCTCACAGCAGCTGCAGAATTTTACATCCTAGCACTTTTGTGGGTTTTTAATTTTTATGTGTACGAGTATATTGCCTGCATGTAGGTAGACACATCCTGTCATGCAATGCCTGCAGAGGTCAGAAGATGGTGTCAGATTCCCTGGAACTAGAGTTACAGTTCTTAGCTTCCATGTGGGATTCGAACCTGGGTCCTCTGTGAAGGCAGCCCGTGCTCTTGATCATTGAGCCGTCTCTCCAGCCCCACTTTTGTGTGTTCATGCGTGCACGTGTATGGAGGCCGTAAGTGGACATACACATTCTGCTTTTTTTTTATTTTTGAAGCTGAGGACCAAACCCAGGGCCTTGCACTTGCTAGGCAAGCACTCTACCACGGAGCTAAATCCCCAACCCTTGCATCTTATTTTTTGAGACAGGGTCTCTCGCTGAACCCAGAGCCCACTGATTCTGCTGGGCTATCTTGGGGTCCACCTGTCTCCACCTCCCCAGCACTGGGTCACACAAACTGCTACCCTCAACATCCTTACCACAGAAGGAAAGACTCTGTGACCTCAGGATGTCACTTTTGTTCCCAAGGCTGGATGTCCTTGTTTCTGAGACCCATGACTGTCTTGCAGGTGCTGTGGTCATTGCCTTCGTGGTATGCTGGCTGCCTTACCATATGCGGCGCCTCATGTTCTGCTACCTATCAGACGAGCAGTGGACCCCGTGAGTACTTGGGCCCTGTCAGGTGGGAGCAGTGCTATCAAGAGGCCTGCAACCCCCCGAGGCTTGCTGGAATCGGGGACAGGACAGGGCTACCGAGAGCGCTGTGGCTGTGGGGAGGCTAGGTAGATGCGGGAAGACTGTAGCCAACAGGTCGGAGCAGGCAGCAGATTCTCAGGTTGTGTTTGAGATGTTTATCAGATCTAAGGGGCAGTTGCTTTGGGACACAGCCACCCCAGACTGGACTTGAGGACTCAACAGAGCCACACAGAGGGCTGTGACTTGTCACGGCAAAGTCAAGGTAGACACATGTGTTCAACTCTCAGCTGTAAGCCATGACACCTGTTGTCAACTGGACAACTCGCAGGCGACTTGGTGTCCAGGTTCTCAGAGGAGCTGGTCACACAGGCCTCTTCTGTCAGGCATGTACCAGACTCCTAGAGGAAAAGCAGGTACTCAGCATGAACCCTGTTTGCACAATGGGTCAGCTGATGGTCAGAGCAGGGCTGCCAGGGCAACAGGCAGCAGTAGGTAAGGTATAGCTTCAGCTCACAGGAGTAGCCTTAAGTATAGGCTCAGGGCTGATTGGGGTGGGGTGAGATCCACAGCGGTAGAGGTGAGCAAGCTGGAACACAGGCACTGAGAGCCTCAGTGGTTCCTGTCTTGATGTAGTTAGTTGGGGAACCAGAGAGGACCCTGCAGCCTCAGGACACAGACTCTGAACAAGACTCTGGGCAGTCTAGGTGGGCTATAGGGGGAGGTACGAACGGGCAAAGTAGAGAGGGCACTCCCAACCTCAAGAAGCCCAGTTCAGGGAGCATGGTCAGAGCCAGATTCACCAGATGCTCCAGGAGAAAAGACTTCGGGGGTGCTTTGGTGTCCCAAGCCACCACACTGCCCGGGGTCCCAGCACACATTGGAATGACTGGTGTCTGAGGTGCACCTTGTCTCTCCCAGGTTCCTCTATGACTTCTACCACTACTTCTACATGCTGACCAATGCTCTCTTCTACATCAGCTCTGCCATCAACCCCATCCTCTACAACCTGGTCTCTGCCAACTTCCGTCAGGTCTTCCTATCCACACTGGCCTGCCTCTGCCCTGGGTGGCGGCGTCGGAAGAAGAGGCGGACGTTCTCCCGGAAGCCCAACAGCATGACCAGCAACCATGCCTTCTCCAGCAGCGCCACCCGGGACACCCTGTACTAGCCCCTGAGGCGGCCAGGGAGGCCTCCCCTACACTCAGGGCCTCACCCCTCCCAAACCTCCATGGGGATGGCCAACGGCCAGCCTGGACCATGTGGGTGAGGCCAGGGCCCTTAGCCCAGAGGCCCGTTTTCTTCCAGTTTCTCTTCCCTCCCTCCCCTGCCCCTCCTCTCCAATCCTCCATCTCCCTCCACTTCCCTCCTCTACCCTCTCCTCCCCTTTAAAAGCCAGAACAGAGGCTGTTTCTTTCCTAGACCCCAAAAAGGCCTTTATCAAGGAGAAATTAGTGCTCAGCAAGGATAGCCTCCTTTGTTCCCAGACTAATGGATGTTTAGAAAGAAAGAAATGAAAGGATTGTGTTGGGGCTGGGCCCTGGGCAGATGGACTGTTGTTATCCTAACAGCACCTTGAAGCCCCACCAGCTGGTCCAGACAGTGACTAAGGACAGGCCTGGGCACAGGGGCACAGGCTCAATCCCAGCTCTTCCTGCCTCTACTCTAGCCCTGGTCCAGCAGACACTGTGGCTCCCTCTGGGCCTCATATCCAGACCCTTCTGTGGCAGACTGACACACTCCCTCTCCTAGGGTGGTCCAAAGAAACCCCCAGCATCCTTAAGGTCCAGAGCCTCCAAGCTGAAAGATGGAGGGATCCGTGTCCCCTGTCTCCATCCTGCACATATATGGTCCACAGAAGAGATCCAAGCTCCCACGTGCCCAGAAAGGACAAAAAGAGGCTGGTCTAGAGCTGCTCAGACCCTCCATTTTAGGTCTGTCCTCACCCAGGCCAAGCCTCAGATGACCCCGCAGGCACTGGGAATTTGCCTCTTGGGTTTGCAGAGGGATAGCAGATCAAGGGGCCTGGCCTCCCCTGCCCAGGTGACCTTGGTGGAGACATGCATACTCCTCCTGTGTTTCTTATACAGCTGTACAGATTAAGGTCTACCAGCTACACAGTGTTGGCTTCAAGGTGGGACCCCTAAGAAGGGGCACATGGACCAGGGGAGACAATGCCAGCTTCTCACCAAGATGCCAGTGTCTGAGACTGAAGGTAAGGAGGGGCCAAGCATCCTGGCACCAGCTGGCTAGCAGCTCTGGGCTGAGACACAGGTCCATTTGTTACCAGCTGCCAGGCAGCCATCCTGGCCCAGGTTACAGGCGCCTAGAACGGCAGGCGCCCTTCATCTCTGGGAGCTGTCTCCAAACAGGACAAGATCAGCCAGTCTCCTGTCAAGAAAGCTGCCCGAGTCCTGGGCGACGGTCCTAGGATGCTCCAAACTAAGAGAGTGGGAGTAGCAGGGGGGCCGGAAAGCCAAGCTCAGCCTTTGGCAAAAGAGGTTTTGCTATCTTGGTCCTCATTATCTGAGAGAGAAATGGATAGACATGGCCATTGGCATGTGAGGACAGTTTTACCCTGGGACAGGAAGAGACCCAGTCCTGACACAGGGCCAGCTTCTGCTTCCTCTGAGCTATAAAAGAATGGATTGAGAGCCAGAAGATCTGCGGCCACCCAGATCTAGCCTCTCTGCTGCTTGACTCCCACAGAACCCCACTACCAGTCACATGGCCCTTCAGTGTGAGAAGGGCAGGGCCTGAGTGAGTCAGGCCTCCAGCTGACACCAAGGAGATGAGACCACCAGAGAACTCCCCACATGAGAGCTCCTTTCAGTCCTGTGGAGCCACTCCACCCAGATGTGGATCTCAGACCGAGGGATTCTGCATGAGGACTTGGCCTTGGGCTCAGGCCAGGCAGCCCAGCCCCCAGTTAGGTTCAGGGACCTTAGGCAGGTCATTTATCTGAGCCTTCGCTGCCTTATTTCAGTGGACTAGGACTGTCCTGAAGGACTCAGCCTAGAGTAGACAGAAAAGAGATACCTTGAGATAAGAAGAAGAGCTGACACCCTGTCATACAGTCCTCCAGAGATGATGTGGCCCAGTTCTAAGGGGGAGATTGGTTCTAAAGGGAGGTCCGAGCTGTCATCAAAAGCCCTCACTGTGGTCTTCAGCCTCGTGCCTGTGTGCTCACTGTAGATAGGGACACACACTCACGGACCACCAGGCATACCTGCCACCCTGATTGGGAACTCTTAGTTCTGGCTCAGATCTGGAAGTAAATCTAGAGGCTGGCCTGGGGATCCTGGGCATGTCCAGCCACAAGTCTAGAGTTCCACAGGCCCAGCAGTGTGATGAAGAGGTGGGTCATGTGCCCTCAAACATCCATCAGAAAGCCTGCACCTCACCACACCACAATCAAAGAGCACCCTCCCCTTTCTCTCTCAATAAAGGATACTGTGGACACCCAGCTTGAATCCTTAGTGTTTGTGCACATCTATTGGTTTGCTCAGTCCTTCACCGAGGCAGGACCCATGCAGCAGACCAGCTTCTATCTGCCTCTTACCAAGTTCTGGGTGTCAGACACATCTCTCAGAGCCTGGGGGGCCCTGCCCACCTCCCCACCCACCTTTCTAGTGAGTCAAGAGCCTCTGCCCTCCCTCCCCACCTGCTGCCCAGTCTCACACATCTACAGATAGTTGAACAGTGACTATTTTAAAACCCCAGTTAAGCTTTAAAAATAAAATTCCTAGCCGGGCGTGATGTCCTTTAATCCTAGCACTCGGGAGGCAGAGGCAGGCGGATCTCTGTGAGTTCAAGGCCAGCCTGGTCTACATAGTGAGTTCCAGGACAGCTGGGGCTACAGGGAGACCCTGTCTCAAAAAGACCAAAAATAAAATAAACTTTCTGAATTTTAGACATCATTTTCCCCAGAGTAAGAAGTCTGTACTTACTATGAGGAGTAAGGAGCAATGCTTCCCAGCTTATACGCAAATGCTAAGTCACGTGATCTGAACAGAGTTGCACTCAGAGACAGACAGCTTCGAGATGATGGTGATGATGATGAATACTTTCCAATCTTGCCTCCAGGACAGCAAAGGAGACCCAACATGCCCAAATAAAGCCAACAGGACCCCCCCTCCCCCAACCTTAGGAGCTGCTGCTCTCCTGCGCAGACATCCCAGCCCAGCTTTTCTGAACTCCTGGCCGAGCTGCATTGTCACTGGCCTAACCTCTCTGTCTTCTGCTTGGATTCCCATGTAGCGTTCTCTGCCACAAAGGCACAGCCCAGCAGCTGCTCCTCCCCTCTCCACCTGCCCAGCTCTGTCCATCATCTCTACTCCTTGGGCAGGGAGGAAAGTTACCTTCTCCCCAGGTTGGGTAGGATGGGGGACGAGTGGCATGATGGGTGCCCAGGGACAGGTGAGGATGGGAATTGTGTCCACCTGCTTAAGTATTTGGTGTAGTTACTTACATATAGTCGTGTATTCTGTCTCTCTCTGTCTCTCTCTCTCTGTCTCTCTCTCTCTCTCTCTCTCTCTCTCTCACACACACACACACACACACACACACACACACACACACACAGCTTTAAATGAACTGACGACCAAAGGACACTGGCTTTGGAACCACCCTGCCCAGAACCCACACAGATACTTTCAGGACTGGAGATGCCCTGACTTATCTCTTTCCTACCCCTACCTCTGCCTCTCCCGCAGCAAAGAACCACACTCCAGCCCACCCAGGCCACCTGGGCAGAGGCAGGGCCCTGTCTGCCATAAAGTGCTTCTGTCACACATGAAGAAGCGTCTTCCAACAGAGACCTCCAGGACTCCTCTGCCCGCTCCCAGAGTCTTCAGGGGCCAGTGGGCTTCATACACTCAGAACCACATAAACCTGCTGATGATAGCCTCCTAGCCCTGCCTGACCCTGTGCAGCTAGCAGCCCCTGGGCCCAGAATCTGCACTCCTAACAACTGCTCCAGTGGAGTGCGGTTCTTCCTGAAGTCCAAGAACCACCATACTTTTCCCCAGCCTCCTGTTCATTCATTCATTCAGCAGTCAGCACAGCCTGACTTCCTCAGGCTGACTCTCCCTTTCTGACTGGTGCCAGGATGAGTGAGAGGCTTCCACATGCTGACTCTCGTTTACTCACAGATATGAGATCTGGCCAGCATATGAATTCAAGAGACATGTGGATAAGATCATCAAAGGAATAAAACACTAATGATGGAATTTCAGCAGTCACAAGGGTTACATTTAGGGACAACAAGCCAGAGCCCTGCCAGGTGAGCTCTGACCACCCACGACGCCCACCCCACTGAATCTACAGTCCTGGCTGAGCCCTTCCCCACTGCAGTTGTCTGAGATTAGCTCTCATTCTGGGACCTGGACAGAAGAGGAGACCACAAGCTCCATTACCATTGCTAGGCAACGAGGTAGGGCTTGGGAGCAAATCCTATGTTCTAAACACATTTAAGGAAGAAAGAGAGCCAAGCTTCCCGTGTCTGTCTGTGAAGCACCCCTTCCCACCTCCCTTCCCCCACCGCTCCCTGCAATTACAATCTGAATTCCAGTTTTTATCAAAACGCCATGGAAACCACATCCAGGCTGAGCATGAAAGAATGACACTCTTGGAAAGAGAAGGAAAAAGGAAAGCAGGGAACCTGCGTGTGAGGAGCAGACAGAGGCAAGGAGGGAAGAGGTGGGACGTCCTGGGATGAGGGAGGCCGTCAGCACCTGCTGGCAGCACCTGGGTGGGGTCCTCAGTGAGGAAGGAAAGAAGGCCTTGGTCCTGACACATGAACCACAGTATAGCACTCACCCGCACCGTCCTGCAGATGGGATCTGGATAAAGACCTGGCCTCCTACTTCCCTGAGGATGGCCACTTAGTCTAAGCCCTTGACCAGCTGCCCAGTGGGGGACTAGCCTCCACCCCTGTATAGGGCCCCTCCCTGCCCTTCTTCTTTACCACTCTTCCTGGGGTCACCTCAAGTAAATGGTGGCTTACATTCAAACCTTGGTTGCAGGAGCTGTTACCTGGGAAAATGAGACAAAAGTGCTCCAAGGAGCTCCAAACCCAGCAGTGTGAGGCCAGGAGCCCAGGCACCAGGGACCTGACCTAGACACTGGGAGGCAGAAGAGGAGAGAGACAGGAAGGAGGAGAAAGAGGTTGGGAAGACAGGAGAGAAAGGCCAAGACCCAGGGAGGAGTAAGTGAAACCTGGGGAATGGGCCTCCAGGGTATGGGAGTTCAGGGAGGCAAGAAGGATGTCCTAGGCGGAGCTCCTGCAATCACCCAGGGTTTCTCAGTTTCCAAGCCTCTCCTGTGGGTCCTCCACAGCTAGCCTCACCCTGCTGAGCCTTCAGGAATGGCCTCGCCTTTGGGACCTCCAGGACTAACCTCAACCTACTGAGCCTTTAGAAATGGCCTCTCCTGCAGGGCCTCCATGACTGACCTTACCCTGCTGAGCCTCCAGGAATGGCCTCCCTTTAGGACCTCCTAGGCTAGCCTCACCCTGCTGAGCCTCCAGGAGTGGCCTCTCCTCTATATTAGAAAAGCTCAGATAAGTGCGTGTCCCCTGTATAAACAGCCTCACAACTGGAAGGATACCCTTTGTGCTCTTGTGAGCATTTTTGCTGAAACAAGGTCTAGAGAGGGGAAGTGACCTGCCTAGGGTTCCAGAGACGTCAGTGCCAGAACAAGGACTGAAAGCAGTACCCTTCCCTCCACCAGGACAGAAGCTCTTAACATGGGGCAGACATCCCAGGGTATTTCACTAACTACAGTGCTGGGGTTCCAGCATCCCCAGACCCATCTAGTTCACAAGAATCTGTTTCTCACCCTGGCCTGGGAATGAGGCCTCCCAGCCACTGCTGCCCTAGCAGGCACTGGAGGGGACTCACAAACCCACAGCTGCAGCCCAGGTACCCAGCAGGACCCTTGCCTATCCAGGGACAGAAGGGCTCAGCCCCTACTTTGAAACCTAGGTGCTTTCCTTTCCTGATTATGATGGTTGCAGGTGACTGTAAGCTTTGTGCTTAGTGGTCTTAAGGCCCCAAGAAGGAAATCAAATGTTTCACTCTCCCATGGAGGGACAGAAGGGAAGGAGAATACTCTAGAACCATAAGCAAAGGAAGGGGGTCTCTGCCCTTGGGGAACCACACTCTCGGGGGCCTCTGTTCTTGGAGTGCACGCCTCACTACCCTCTTGAGTCTGTTAAACCCTGGAATCTAGAACCTAGGCTGGCCTTGGAGAAGGATAATCCCTTTCCTGAACTTCTCAGGACACTCAGATGCCAGCAGGACATCCTAGAGGTAAAGCAGAGGCCACAGGACTTAGAAGAAAGAGCAGACTAACTACATGGTATCTGGGAACATCCCCTAGAGGGGCTTGAGTGTACAGCCACAACCTATCCAGGGCTTGTTTCCAGACATACCTGACAAAAGGGTACATGGGACAGAGCCTGACATGTCCCAGTGTACCAGTGATGGTCTACGTGGCCAGATCTGACTGGCAAGGTGCGACTGGTATCTCCTTGTATGGAGCACACAAGTGTGTGATACTTCCTCCAGCCCCTCCCTCTGAGCATGTGCAGCCCAGCCAAGCATTCCACATTCACCATCCTATCCGAGCCTTACCTGCACCTTCTCCACTCTGGGTGTTATTCCCCCTTCTGTACTGGTGGAGAAACTGAGGCTCAGTGTGGCTGCTGCTTGCCTGTTACAGAGCACTGTCCTCCAAGCATAAAGACCATTATCATCTTAATCAGAGCAGCTGTGGTTATCCACAAGCAAACCCCCCCGCCCCGATAAAATCAGGTCTGTTGGCATTCCAAGAGGGAATGGAGGCGGGAGGACCATTGGATCCTCATCTGAAATTACAGCCACTCTCGCCTGCCTTCTTCACTCTGCCTCAACTACATGTGGTCTCAAGAGGCACCGGATACAGTGGGTGAAAGGTTAACGGAAGGGAGTTCATCCATCTTGCATCTTTGAAGATGTTGTCACCCATGCTGGGGTGGAACTTCTCAATGATACAGCTGTTTGAGGGTCTCCCCCTCTCTGTCAGTAACCCCTCACCCATGCTTCTGTAAGTACACCCAGTAAACTCACTGATTCACAAGACAGACTTGGGTGGCACTGTTACTCTGGTCTGTCTTTGGTACCCTATCTGGGGGAACAGAAGTTTGTTCCGATCTCCCCAGAAGTAGTTAATGCACCACTGCTCAAGCTCTGACACCCATGGGCAGTGACCCAGGATCTGAGGCCAAGATAGACATTGCCACAGCATCGCCAGAGGTCCCTGTAGGACTACAGAACCCCAACTTCAGGGGCCCTGCCACAGTCTCTGCAGGCTGCCTTGGCATTGCACAAGTTTAAAAACATGACCCTGCCTGGGGCCACAGGAATCTCACTCACAAGAAACTGTACCTGGCCCCAGCTCCTCTGGCCCTGATCCACCTAAACACTCTATTGCTGACTCTGTCAGCCCAGAGACACTACTTTCCTCTAATGTTGACTCCCAGCATGTTGCTCATGGGTAAATACCCTTGTAGCACCTACTGTGTGCCTTCCTCCAGTGAACAGAAGCATATAGCTCAGCCCTCCAACAAGGGGAGCTATGTCCCCTGGGGGGATGAGCCAGACTGGGTAGAGCATTTAGCTTCCCTG